ATATTATACATTCATATTCATTTTTTATCGCTATTGTGAGACTTTTGTTGAGATGATCGCGGTAATAATAATCAACACGATATTCAATTCGACTGACAAACGATATATCATGTCTAAGGCTTCTATTAGCTTCTATACAGCTTATTTGTGCCGATATTAGAAATGATAGTCGTAAAAGAGCGCGTGACGTATCTATTGCGCAGAGAAGTATGATAAAATTGGCATGAAAGGTGAGTTTCTTAATTTTTTTCTTTGAAAAACTGTCAGATGATTTCAAAACTGATGATTTCATAAACAATTTGTTTGCGAATCTAAAAGAAAGACTTTACTTAGATTAGATAAGACGCGATTGCAAGAGTCAATTACAGAATGGTGATGTGACCTCATTTTGACAAACGAGGAAAACATAGAATGAAAACGCGCGAGGATATGTTCAGCAAATTTTATTTTGTGCGAATGTCTCGGGGGAATAATTTTTGGAACAATAAATAAGCGATCTTGAATACAGATGTGATAAAAAAGAGAAAATATCTTTTTTCTAATTTTCAAAATCAGTTTTCTCGGTAATATATTTACGCGAAAAATTTATAAAAATAATTATTTTTTATAAATTTAATAATATGCGATATTTGAAAATATGGATTATTTTATTAATTGATTTAGCTTTTTGAACACAGAAGAAATATATACACATACACATATATAGGGGAGGCGAAGAGATATTTGCATGTTTAGTATATTGGCGATTTTTAAATTTCAATGAGAGTATTTATATATTCTTCGAATGATTCAGACACGATGACATAACGATTATCATTCGACAAGATCGTCGCAATTATTCATTATTTCTTTTATAATTTCCTTCAATTAGCGAATCAGCTAATCAGAAATCTCTCCTTCAACTCAGAAATTGCAGTGATTCATTCAGAAAGAAGCGTTGTATTGCAAGATTCTGCGTTTCAGATTTCGTGTTATAAATGACGATTAAATGTTTTTTACTACAAACCGTTTTGCATAAAAAAATTAGTTAGATAACTCGGAACTTCTCTCGCTTCATAATTAATTAAATCCTTGAATCTCAGAAATCGTGGACTGTATTTGCTGTTTTATCTTTTCAATTATTTATATTTTGCATTGATTCTAAGATTTTAAGTAATTTTTAAATTATTAGAAATTCTTCAAAATCAATTACTGTTAATATAAATTCAATATGTATATTGTTGCATAATGCTACTGAACTTTGATATCAAGCAGGCGATTCTAATGTATGAAAAAAAAATTCTGATGTATTACTTATAATTTACTACAGACATTAGAAAGTATTGGAGAAGTAATTTAAATTTGAATAAATACCAAATTGATTTATGTTTGTGTGTGTGAAAGCTACGAACCTGAGATTTCTGTTTAAGCTAGAATAATTAAATATATATACATACATATTTTCTTACAATAAAATCATATTAAGAAGATCTTTAATAATGCAAATTTGGTTTCAATACTTATTTGCATAAATTTATTTTTAGTAAAACTGCAATTCTGTTTATTAAAACTTGATTGAAATAAGAAATTTTGCTACACTGTTTTTTTGCTAATTAATTGTATTATACTACATATATTAGAAATACTTGAAAGATTTGTATTTGCAGTTGCTATTACTAAAAAGACTGTTATGAATAATTGCCTTTGAAATTTTATAGATCAAATATTTAAAAAATATTTAAATATTTTAAACATATATCGTTATGGTACAGCGTGCACAATCTATCGACTTTGCACTGAACTACGTACACACGTTATATAGATTCTGCACACACATAAATGTTTCTTTTAAAAATATAAAAAATGAAATATACGGAATATTATATCATTAGTTTTAAATAAATATATTATGTGTGTTATATATATCTCACCGACAAAATACAGTAATATATTATCTCAAAAGAAATAAACTTTTTGTTCTAATGCTACATTACCATACGATCTATCCAATCATACGATTTCATAATGTTTAATATAATAAAAAAAAATGTATATACTATAAATCAATGAAGTTGTAGAATCATTCTAGCAAAAATTTTGTTCTTTTTTTAGCGGATATAAAGAAACGCTTCTTTTTGGACAATGAATAATGAACATCTCAGGCTTTCTGTTCGCAATATCTAGGTGCTCCGATTTCTGAGTGCTTATTGATAACGAATTTGCAATCCACTTTCGCTGCGATAGAAACAGTCGGTTTTCGTGTTTAACGGGATCGCGTCGCGCCAGCCGTGGGAAAGCAAAATTGCGCGGAATGAGCCAAGTGAGAGGAGGATGAGCTACGATAATTACGAACGTTGGTAGTGTCTTTTACGTAATCTCACCGTCAAGATGTCGCGGACGCAGGTATAATGATTAAAGTGCCTGGAGAAAGAACGGCAGTCAGGGTTGAAGCGGAACGGAACGCATTGTCTTCGTCGGGATTATCGCGGTGGCGGTTAATCACTGGTGTGCGTGATCGAGACGAAAATATACCAAGTGTCGACCATAAGACTTATCCGCGAATTATACTTGGTGTCGATCGCGCTATTCTATTCATATCACGTTAAAATTTGACGGTTATTATTTAACAAATTTGAGAATCGAATTAATTTTCTCTCATTTTGAAGGAGAATATATATTAATAGTCTTTCAGTAGTCCTTCGCAGGCACTAATCATTTTCAAATTAATTAATTAAATAGTCATTTTATACATTTATGTTACGATTATTGAAAATTTCGAGCATTTATAACCAGTAGCGTATTTATATAATTTATGATAATATCATAAATATATTACATATCCAATTTGAAATTTTAGTTGTATTTCGAAAGAAACACTCTGTATGGACGCGGTGTTTATAAATGTACTGTGGAGTTGTTGAAATTATACGACATCTACCGAATTTTTTTTCTGGTAATGCGAGAGTAAAACGTGTATTAGTGAGCTCGGAACATCAAATATATGTAGAAATGCAGGTCACAGTACTTATATCTGAAGATTTCACTGCAAGAACTTGATATGAAACAATATGAACATGAAATCAAATATATATTTTCTTTTTGTAACAATAACTTTTTGTAACAACGAAAATGGATTTAGCATTGAAGGCAATGATTACTGTGCGCCTTATAACTCGCAACATATTTTGAAAAATGTCAAAAAATTAATTCATAAATTTCAATATAATAGAAAAAAACTCTGCTTCTCTTTAATGCGATTAATAAAAAAGTATCGATTAAATTAAATAGTTATGAATGGTATACGTACTCATAAGAGATGTTTCCAGACACGTAGCCAATCGAGTCAAAGCGGTAATCAACGGCGGACGATGTTCCTCCAAAAATTTGTCGTCTGTTGATTGAAATTAATTAATCAAAAAAAATTCTGATTATAGTTTTACTGTCGCTTGTATTTTTAGGTGCAATATATAGAATACACTTACATTCGGAATTTTCGTAGAGTCGATCGATCGATGTATCGTCCACATTATCAATGAGACCCTCGATTATCTTCTCGATAAAGTGTCGGATTATGTGCACCATGCGCTTTTCTTCCTGTTCTTCCTGAATCTCCATGTTCGTCGCGACTCCATGTCCTGGAGAATAATTTTGAACACTCTTAGAAAGTTTATTTTTGATATTTGATATAGAAATTTGACGTAAAAAATTCGCAAATACAATTTTTTATTATTGTTTAATTAAAAAAAAAAAAAGTAAAAGTAATTGTCAAAATTAAGAAAAACGCGCTTATCAAATGCACGCGCTCGAAACTTATATTAATTTTTCAACACAAGTTTACATTATAAAATCGCGAAATATCATGTTCATATAGAATCACGTTCTTTCAATGTTTGATTGATATATATCACATTTCACTATCTCGCACATTTCTCAATATCGCAAGACTATTCGAAACGCGCATCGCGTTTTGCCGCTGTCACAGTCCACCAGCACGTTCGTCGCGAAACGAAGAAAAGTTGCTTTCTAAATCTTGGACCACACATACACCTTCTCGCGTTCGTTAGGTCGCTCGTGCTCTTCCCCGATCGAGCGCGTTGATACAATTCATGTGGTGGATCACGCGGCGCGCACAGAACAATGAGCATCGTCGTGAGAGACTTTTCGAGCCATTCTTATTGTTCATGTCAGTCTCCTTCCGTTACGCGACTTTTCCGTCTTGGAACAAGAACAGACGTTCGCCAATCACGGATAAAACAACGTGCGATACACAAAATGGCAAAATAATAATTAAATTAATTAAAATACATACGTTGCAAATACGCTGATTATAATGTCATCGTCTCGCGAAATATCATATTCTCGAAATATTTAGGATTGCTAAAGAGATCTGAAGTATAATGATATCTAAATTAGAAGAATAAATCAATTATAAATGAACAAACACAACAAAGATGCATTAATTATGTCAGATATTACAAAATCTTTATGACAATTTATCGCAAATCATAGAAATATATTTGATTGAACATTAAAAAGTTTATACAATTTTTACACGTTACCTGCAACGTAGACTCGCGATTTAGCAGTGCCGAAGAAGCTATGCAATTCCTCCTTCTCATTTGTTGTGCCACCGAAATTGTCGAACCATTTCTCATTCCTCTTTATCCACACCCTGTAAAATCAAGAATTTTGCTTTCTTTAAATCTTTAAAAAAAAAAAAAAAAATTTAAAAAAAAATTTTACACGTTACCTGCAACGTAGACTCGCGATTTAGCAGTGCCGAAGAAGCTATGCAATTCCTCCTTCTCATTTGTTGTGCCACCGAAATTGTCGAACCATTTCTCATTCCTCTTTATCCACACCCTGTGAAATCAAGAATTTTGCTTTCTTTAAATCTTTAAAAAAAAAAAAAAAATGTTAAAGAAAATCTCTTCAAAGAAAATCTTTAATGCTATACCTGTTGATTCAATATTAAATATTAAAAATAAAGGCAATAATATTTGGAAATAATTATATGCTTTGTTCATCGATAATAAAAAATAATTTTGCGAGAAAATAAATAAAGATAAAAATAATATTAACATCTCGTGTAAAAGATAAATAATGAACAATATATTACGATAAGTATGAATGTATTAGAGAGACCTTCGTTGATGACAGAATATGCAATGCCAAGCATTATCCGATGTGTTCCAACGAGAACAGGACTTTCTGCAGGACTTAGCGCCGCAATCGTTGCAACGCACACCGCGACTGATTAAGAATGGTGCCAAGCAACAGGCGCAGCGGCCATCGTCCACAGCCTCTCGCTTCGTTTTCGTCGACTTAGAATTTTTTCTGAAACAAAAAAAAAATTATTTATCTATAACGCAAATCTAGGAGATTTCACAAAAAAATACATACTGATCACGTAGACTGATCACTTACAATATGTTGTTCATCTTGAATATTAAATTAATTTAAATCCAAATATGAAATTAAAAATTCAGATCTTATTTTAATTTATAATCATTTTTATACATTCTATGCAGAATGTACACATAACAAACTAAAAGAAAACAAAATTTATGCTGAGTTTTTCAATTTGTCATGTAGGCATTTTGCATAGTCGGTAATAAATATGATAAATTTTTAAATAAAATTTGACTTTTTATTTGGTACTCTTTCTCTCATACATTTTGATTATGATTTAGACATCTTATTATTTATGCCAATTTATTTTATTAATTATTCATTAAACTAGAAGAGATAGGTTTTGTGTGCGTTTGTTAGAAAATAAAGAACACGAGAGCTATATAAATAAGCAGCATATTTATTTAATTAATATTAATTATGAAATTTACAAAAGAGATATATTCTGAAAAAAATAGTTGTATACAAACAAATGGAATAATAAAATAATCCGAAGTAAAAGTCGATCCTAAAAAAATTGCGAGCAGTTTGATGAATTAATCGTTGATTGAATTTATTTATAAGGTACAAAAAAAACATCTTTTGCATGTACGTCTATGATGTAGGATGACATAATTGTAATTCATGTCACCCGTTGAACAAAATAATAAAATAATCGAAGGATAAGCGTGTATCACACGCAATAAAGCTACCGCAATTTATCATATTGTGAAGCCACAACGATCGACTCGAACTACGTATTCTAGGGCACAGTCGTTACATATTTACAATGTCGTAACGGTACAAAATAACCGCGCTTATTGCATATGCATGCACAAACTACAATGCGCATTTTACTATACAGGGTGCTTTGCAAAACCGTGGCAATCGGAAAAAATTTGATTGTTCTATAACAAAAATAAAGAACTTCTAAATTGTTTAGATGACTAAAAACGTTTTCATTGTATTTCAAGGACTTATTGTTTTTGGTTTTTATTAATCACTGAAAATTATTTAAAATTAAATAATTTAGTTTGATGAATTAATCGTTGATTGAATTTATTTATAAGGTACAAACATCTTTTGCATGTACATCTATGATGTAGGATGACATAATTGTAATTCATGTCACCCGTTGAACAAAATAATAAAATAATCGAAGGATAAGCGTGTATCACACGCAATAAAGCTACCGCAATTTATCATATTGTGAAGCCACAACGATCGACTCGAACTACGTATTCTAGGGCACAGTCGTTACATATTTACAATGTCGTAACGGTACAAAATAACCGCGCTTATTGCATATGCATGCACAAACTACAATGCGCATTTTACTATACAGGGTGCTTTGCAAAACCGTGGCAATCGGAAAAAATTTGATTGTTCTATAACAAAAATAAAGAACTTCTAAATTGTTTAGATGACTAAAAACGTTTTCATTGTATTTCAAGGACTTATTGTTTTTGGTTTTTATTAATCACTGAAAATTATTTAAAATTAAATAATTTGAACGAACGTACTTATAATACATAATAAAATAATCACACAGATCGCAGTAATCCATAGGAAATTGATTTCTCTCTATTTTACAGAAATTAAATTTTAAAATTCCTAAATTTTTTAATAGCACATCATATTGTATTCATGTACTTTTCAGCATTAAATAATTTACAATTACATACGTTTCCTAACGCATTTCCTAAACTAGAATTAAATATTTTCTTAAATAATGCCCTGATATTAATAATATGGATTAATGGAGAGTTGTATAATATACAATTTTTTTATTTATGCTTAAATTAAAATTTTATTAAAGAAAATTTTTAATTATTTGAAAGTTTATTATATGAAAAATATCAAGATATATTTTTGTTAAAGAAAAAATCCACATTATTTGAAGAAGTCGTACTGACGACAATCTTAGGGCACCCTGTATATCGCTATACGAGATCTCATATTATCGAGACCTATAATTGGCACGAGCCAATAGTACGAAAGAGAATGTGATAGAAAGTATGTATTAATAGAAACAAATACTCTGTTTTGTGCCGTAACAGCGCATTTTTTCGCAGTTATCCTTTTTTCGGTCATTGCGCACGTTCTCAATTAACGATTTATACTTATTTGGAAAGTGGCAAAAGTCAAACATAAATGTCATAAATCATGTGTCATGAGTCACTTGTAATGCGCGGCGCTGATTGTTTCTGCTTTAAGATCTTTTAAAATATCGCGGATATAACATGGTAATTTGATTATTTGAAATACGTGTGCAATGTGATTTTACTTATTTGTTAAACAATTGTATTTATCGATAAAGACAAAAATTATGCGATATTATAAGAAAACAATTTTATTCGCAGTATATATGCGGTGTTATTGCAAAATTTATTTTTGAAAATTTATTAAACTCGCTTATGCCACTTTCGACAAAATTGATATAAATTATCATTATTCCTAAACTTGTCACATGATTTTTTAATCGTCGCGATCGAAAAACGCTGCGGCTGCACTTAGTGGCGAGTGACTGTCCTCGTCTCGTTCCATATCGGAAGTGACGACCTTCACCACCACCACCTCAATGGTAATTAGCAGAAACAGGACCATAAAGGTCGCCATGTTATATCTCTCTTGACCAGGCACGACTTTGTCACTCTCGATTAAAAGCGTCGAGATCAAGCTGAAAACGTAAATCAGCATGTTGCTGATTGCGGAACGCGTTTTCTTGCGAAAGCAACACTCGTCTTTCCGTTAACTTTGTCCTTACGTTAACAATTATTTTTATTATTTTCTATATAATAATACATGTTATATAAGTTTTACACACAAAATGAAGATTCTAAGATTAATCACGAGCAGTTTTAACTTTTACTCCGATTTTAGCCAAATTTTATTCCGATTTGGATAAGTATTTCTCTTCCCTTTCTAAATTATAGCACTATCAATTCAATGCGATAATTTTACAATTAATCACAATTGTCAACGTTGATCCTACTTTTTTTCCTTTGCAATATAAATTTCTTGTTCTTTTCTAAATTATAGCACTAATAATATATACTATATTAATTCGAAACAAAGAGTGTATAGTAATTAGTTCTGACTGACATTGGTTCAATCGGCTATTCGGCGATTCCATTGAATTGGCGAAATTATACTTTGAACCAGATATGATGTCTGCAGACTTTGCACTTATTTAATTTCGACTTAATACGCGAAACTGCTTTCGAGTTACCCGGTTTTAATTTCGCATTTGCGATGTCGGTCACAGTGATTCGACAATTCTGCATCTGACCCGCGATCTTCGCTTTCCCCGACGATTTCCTCGGCTCATTCGTTCCGCGTTCTGGACACCCGCATTTCCGTAAATTCGCGATGTCTCGCTACGATCGCGTTCTACGCAATTCACGCTCCTATTTCGCCGGTTACACGATCGCGAGGTGGCTTTCCAACGCGCGCGATCGACAGGAGTTACGTTCTCTTACGTAACAATGCGTAATTATTTATAATCTGTGCTGTTTTATTTTTTTATATGTACGAGCATACGTCTAGTTCAATGTAAGAGTTGTCTGGCAAAAATTATATAAACACAGAAATTATTTACTGGATTTAATCTCAATTTAATGTATACGAAAGTTCTTTTAAGTATTATAAAATCTTAATTTTTGTGACAAAAGAGATAACCTACTTAGTCTTTCACTTTTGCTTTCTCGATTTTATCTTATCGTTATACTTTAAATTTTTGTTATTTTTTCGTTTTTGATTTCGTTTTTGATTTTGTTTTTGATTTCGAAACTGACGCATTACCATCCGCGTTCTGGCTCTTACTAGCCGGCGATTATTTGAAATTTGTGATGTCACTCGAGAGCCTAATTTCTTAAAATTGTTTTTTTGTTTTTGTTCACGTGGTTTTCACCGCGCTTTGATTTCTTCAAGTTATATCTTTAATTAAATTGTATTGAGATGTTTTTTCTTTTTGTTCCTTTTTTCTTGATTCTGTATTTTCCACTCTCTTCATTAATCCTTATAATTATCTTAACTGGATCTTTGTGTGATTTTTTTCGATGGATTAGGTTCTCTTTTTATCCCATTATACCTCTTCAATTCTTTTAAATGATTTTGTCAATTAAACTTCTCGACTTTCTCTTTGATCGATTCTATTTTCTTATTGTCACGTGTCCCAGATTCACATGACTCTTTCTCGGATTTCACAATTTCTTCCTCTTCTTATGTCCCGTGCTTCATCTTCCTCAGTTGATCATCTTAATCAGCTGTCTTTGTATTGACTTCCCCTATAGTAAATATATTTCCTCTGTAGCCTCGTAATTCGTTCTCACAGGAATACCAGATCTTCTCGTTGGTCCACAAGTTTTGATAAGCTTGACCGATCTTCTCGATCGAATTACTTGAACGATAGACTCCCACGATCTCTTCTTCCTTTCTATTTGATTGATCTTGTTTTTTCTCTAATATGCATCTATCAATTTATGATCGCGTTGTGATTCTACGAAATCTTAGATTTCTTCTCTCGTTACTTCTCACGCGTTAATCACCTTAGATAATCCTCTCTATTCAACGCCTACAGTCTCTTCTTCCTTTCACTTCAGTCAATCTTCTTTTATCTTAACAAACAGCAGACTTGCTGTAATATTATGATCTTGCGAAAATGTAAAAGCTGCTTCGATTTTTTCAGGTAATCCCTACAATCGAATATTTTCTTCTTTATACCTCTTCTCCTGCGATTTTTTCGTTTCTCCAGGTGGCTTTTAGGAGATTTTTTTTCTCTTTTAATCCTTTTAGTCCTCACGAGTCTTTTCGTCTTCCTGGTTATCTTCCCTCCACCTTGTAGTCCACAATCGCTGCTTAATAGTATCTGGTCCAGCGTCCAGTTTGATATTTTAATACTCTGGACTAAGCACTTTATTTCAGTCTTTACTGTTCTCTAGAAGATCGTTTTAATTTGAATTTTTTTTAGAAAGTTGCAATCCAAGTTGCATCTTTGATGATGTTGACGGAAGTGCGAGTTTGGCACGCGGTCAGACCGCAGACGTGTTAACTCGCTCGGCATGCCATTTCCGTGGACCAGACACGCCGCAGAGAACCGGCGCGATCGTATCCTCGTATCGGACTGTCGGCTCGAAAGTGACAGTGAACTGTCGTTGGCTGGGGAAACTCAGGATCGCGCGGTTATGCGCGCCGGTTTCTGCCGATGGTAGGAATCTCCGTCTTCGTTACATTCGCCGCGACGATGTATTCCTTTCTCTTGCTCCGTTTCTGTCTTTCTCTTTCTCTCTTTCTCTCTCCTCAATCGGTGACCCATGTTCGTGCGATTGATGGAGACTTTCACTGAATTTCGGCGGTCGCTCGAAACGTTCGATTATGATAGGATCAGAAGAATCGCTGGTTTTTATTTCTTATTCTACTCTGGCAGAAATTGGCAAATGTTGCCAATTCATGTCGGCAACTTCATGAAAATATGATGTAATATCGAAAGTTGAATTACAACACAGATGCATATAAACTTGATTTTTCAAAATAATTAATAATAAAGAATGCTGTGGTCACATCAATTTGAATTATTTTTTAGAAAAAGTTCAACAAAATTCCATCCTCTGAAAAATATTTTTTATTCCATATTAGAAAATGAATTAAAGATTAACATCTAACTATTGAATTGTTTTCTCACTAACACAGTTTTTATTGTAATAAACATGTAATTAAAGATTACTTTATATAGAACGTCTGCTACATAAACTTTCGACAATATTTAGTGAAAACGTTAGGTTTAGTATACATTTTTTTTGATATATTCACATTTTTACGACGTTCTCTCAATTTTAACATATATACATTATGTTACTAAGCTCACTTGTATTTTTTGCTGAGATTACCAAAATATTTAATGTAAAATTAAAAATTTACATTAAACAATAAATTTCCATTAGATATTCATTAACACAATTTATTTCAAATTACCAAATGGGCGATAAATGTGCGGGGAAATATTTTTTATATGTATATGTTTATTTCTATTATAATATCATTTTGAAAATAATTAATATTTTTTTCATCTCCTTAAATAATCACAGTAGTCACAATGTAAGCTGATAATAACTTGAGTGTAATCATTCATTGAATAAATTAAAACTTTTTATGGAAATTATAGTATATAGAAGCAGAAAGATTAAATATATTCAATTCTTTTATAAATCTGANACATACATATTTTGCACCAAAAAAAAATAGTCTTTTTATTTCCTAAAATTTTAATATAGAATCAATCATTAAAATTATTAAAATCACCGATAAAAAGTATGATCCACAGCAAACGATCAAATATTAAATAATCATTATGAAATTGATCGTTTTCGGTAATGTGTGAGAGACTTGTTGTATACCTCGATTATTTCCTCATTTCTCCGCATACGACAATTTGCAGCTTCCCCGCACTGCTATAATCCGATTACGTAATCTCTCGTGTACTTCTTTACTTTATATTACATAATAATCACTTTTGATAACTGCGCAACACATATTGCCAGAGCTTAGCATTAGCCATTACGTAGCGAATCCTTGAATAATGATTATACAAAGTTTTTAAAAATAGACAAGAATACCTCTGTGTCTTACAAGGGAAATGAAAGTGAGTTGAAAGTGTTCTCCTCGGATTTTGATCCAAAGTTCATCAAAATCGGAGGGGGACAATTCTCACACTTCTCTTGTTAGATGAGACATGAATAACGGGAAAATCGTGAAGAAATGTATGTGATTGTTTCAACTTATGAATATATAAATTTGTGTGATAAATAATGTTACAATTGATATATTAGTCTGATGATATATATCAATTTATAAAAAATATCTGGAGTAAGAATTATCTGCAAACACAAAATAATTTTGAGATTGCATTTTAAGATTTTCTAGTTAATTTTTAATATGTTTTTAATTTCATCATCTTATTGAGATATATTCGTCTTTTTCTTTTCTTTGTCGAAATAAATTAATGAAAAATGAGGCACAGTAAACGTATAATACGATGAGAAATAGTAATTTATTCATGAGCTATCCCTTTTCTAAGAATATCTTTCATTTATACAATATGTATTCTATTATCTAGTATGTATTCTGTTTCTATTATCTAGTATAATCTCAAATAAAAATTTAACATTACTTCATTAGTATAATTTTGTAGATACACTATAATTATTGAGACCTAGTCACTGTTCACACTTACTGTTACTTACTTACCGTTTCTCTCGCTTTCTCCCGCAAAGGATTCTTAGAAAGAAGTGTTTCATCGGTCGTTCAGCTTCAATCCGGTCTCACAATGAACACCAACGCGAATGTTTCGCGCTATTGTCATCGAGTAAAAGTAAGGACGATGAACTGTTTCTGTTTATCGTCTGACGTTGTTTCTTCGGCTTTGTTTCTCATATGATCCAAAAAAAATGTCCAAGTTTCCTATTAGCACGCTTTCTATATTTCTATTTTATTTTATTACGTTAGCGTTATTTCGATTGCGATTTCCTTCTTTTCTTTATTCGATATTAACTTTGTATCTCTGTATCTTATGTTATTTTCTGCGAAATAACATATATAAAAATTTCGAAGATTTATGCGATGGAAGTATTATTGACATTTGTATGTGATTTCTTACATCTGAGGATGTTGTTCTTTATCGCTCTTAAAATAAACAATCACGCAACTTTGTAGAAGATTAACTTCTAACATTGAGTAAAAATTTCATCGGTCTCAGTTGTTGCAATGATGTCAAATAACGCACATAGTATCAAGTTTGTATGTTCCTTATTTTACTGCTCTTAAACCAGACATTAAAGCAGATTTCTAACTTTGTAGAAAATTAGTTTCAAGTATAATCGAATAGGAACTTTGTCAGTCTCGATGATTTCGAATAATGTGAGCCAGAAAATCCGATTAATTGTCGAGTCGTTACAATAGATTACCCTACCTTTAACTTCATAAAGAATCAATTCTAAGCATCGTAAAATGGAAACTTCGTCTCTTGATTATATTGTACCAGAGAATCCAATCAATTGCTATGTTGATTAAATAGAGAACTAAGGGGCTAACATCTTCGCACCTTTCGGAGCTCACTCGAGGGAGATTCACGCTAGCGTTTTACACCAAGAATGACCAACTATCCGCGACAACGAGTATCCCGACAATGGAAGAGAGCGTCAGATTGGTGCGCGCGGATCCCCGAGTGTTCGGTTCCTATACGGTGCTTCCGGTTCCCCTACGCGCCGTTGCATCTATTGTTCGTTCGATACGTGCCATGCCGGTCGGTCATTGTGTAATGCCCGACGTTTCGCCGTTGACGTGTTCCACGCCCCGGACCACCACGTGCATCCTTAATTAATGACGCTTCTTTTTCGCCCCTCTCTCTCTTTTCTTCTTCCTCTTCCTCTTCGTTCTTCCTCTCGTTCACGCGTATCGATACGTCATCGACACGTCGTTTGTATTACCGCGTCGTAGGCGCTTCCGGTAATGCTGCGCGAGCCTAAACCGGCTCGTCTGATGAGATTGTGGTATCCAGGCCCGGGTATTTACACGCACGGGAGCATTGTACGCAACATTCTTTCCGTCGCGATCGCGTAATGCCGAGAAATAGAGTGCGCCGACAGTACGCGTGGTAAAAGATAAGATAAGATGCGGATAGGTAAAATTAAAGTAAAATAAATATAAGAAAGATAAATCCGAGATAAATCACTGATTCGGAGAAAGAAGTGCGAATTAAAGGCGATTTAAAAATCTATTATTTGAAATATTAGATAATATAAATGACGTTTGTAGCAAAGTAAAATGTGAAATGTAAACAATTTTAGAAAATTATTGAAGTAATTTTTAATCATAAAATTAATAATTTTTAGTAATAATTTATTAAGGATTCTCTGTGACTTATATGATTATTATAATCGCAGTTGTGTGTGTGCTTCTGATGATCTTAAATATTCGAATCTTCATTATTTTTACAAAGATAATTTAGGAGGGAAGAAACTCTAATTTTATTTTATATACAGTAATGCGTAGAAATAACCTATTCTTTTTACAAGAACACAGTTTATTTTAGTTAAGTATATATACGTGTACATTTTTGAACTTGATAGAAAACTTATCAAAAAATAGTATGTGCTCTTTTCGGAAATAATCCATCCAAATATAAAAGGATATCGAGAAATCTAACAATACAAAAAAGTCTACGTCAATATATGATATTGTTTCTATTATAAGCAGTGACACACTGGTAATACGAAAAATGAAATTAATTTTTAATCTGGGTCAACAGTAGCCAACACAATATCTCGTCATCTTACAATACCAGTAGACATTTGTTGAGGTATCGATTTGCTTTGAATTAATAAGCCTGATGCTTTTCGATTTGAACGCTAAACAAACTATTTAATTTGCTGCGTCACCATTCAAATGATCTCAAAAAGTATTATATAATAGTATTGTCAAACTTTTCACAATAGTTATCTCTCTCTCTTTATTGATACGCAATTGATAAAACTATGTGTTTGATGAAATAAAAAATATAAGTAAAGCCTTTTTTCAATGCACAAAAATATGAAAATATGATGACATTTGTTTTATTTTAAGTACAAAAAATGCTAAATGTAAAAAACAGTCTTAAACCACTTGGAATATAATGCGATTTTTTTGCGATGTTTACGACATTATGACAATAGCGCTTAAATAAGATTATCGTGAAGCAATACAGGTTTTTATTCGAAGAATCATGAAAAAAACTTGAACGTTGATACGGTGGATATATGTATATGATAAGCGTAAATCCATATATTCTTGATAATCTTGGAATTTCTGGATACAACTTTTACATTCTCCATTTTTAAAAAATGAAAAAAATATTTAATATAAAAAAAGAAAAAAATGAATGAAAAGATTAGGAAAAATAAATTTACATTGTATTTTACTAGAAGAACTATCTAGATTCGAAAAGGTTTTAGAGTTTCCGAAAAAAAAAAACAAAAAAAATCGAAGTTTTTTTAAATATACATTTTAGCATTTAAAAATAATTAAAAATTATAGATCTGATATTGAAATTGGTACATTGAAAAAATCTAAGGTTTTAAGAATTTACGAATTTACAGATCTTTTCAGCAATTATAATCCAAAACCCAAAAATTTATTCCATATATCCAGAATTTAAAAAATGCAATAGTCTTGAAAGTTTAAAGTTCAAGAACTTGAGAACTTTTTTGCGCGAAAAAGTTCTTTCAAAACTTTTTAATCTAGAACAACATATTATGATTAATTGATCAATCTTTAAAATGTAATACTTACTTTGCTCGGAGGCTAATGAAAATAAAAATCCCAGATGCCACTCCGGCTATCAATAAACCAATACTGGGTGAGACGACCATATTTTTTCTCTTCAAAAATTGAAACTTGGAAGACGTAATGTTCATCAAGAACGTGACGAAAGAACGCTTTTTCTTCGAAGATACAAGAGGATAAGTGTCTTTTTTCGATATATTTCTCTTTTTAAGAGAGAGCAGATATTTCTGAGATGTGATTGGAAGTACGCACTTTGATCGACTGTTACTCGCGTTTTTCGCGATATGATACGTACGTATGCGGCATACATATATCGATACAATCGATGATAATCATTCGACGCAGCGCGGAAACATTTCGGAGCGATTAACATCATCACGGCTCATCGCCAGGCGTGAGCAAGGACATGCCCCGAAAGATCTTGTCATACCTGAACTGTAATTTATTACACATGAGTGTTTGTTGGCAATATGTCATCTTTATGTTCCTTTATAATTTATTTCTATCAAGTGTTAAATGTAACGATTACTATATATATATAGTTATATTTAATTTCTCATATAATTTTAATTTTGCTTTAGTATATTTAGAATTAAGCCAAATTTTTTGAGCATTTTTATTCTTATATAATAATTCTTAGTTATTTTTGTTATGAATTATATATATCATTTTATTCATAATTTAATACAAGATTTTTAAATGTTTGATTAATATACTATTTTTCGCACTTTAGGATTTTTTCGGTACTTTAGCAAAAAATAAAAGAAATGAACAAATACATTTTGTGGAATTGAACTTTCAAGTCATGTATATTTTGGAGAATTTATGCAAAAATATTTTCAGTACTAAAAAAAATTCTTAATTATAAATTTCTTATATGTATTAGACTATATATTTTATTTCTGGAATGCGTAAATTTTTTTAATGGTAAAAAACAGCGCATATGTAAATAATATTGCATGTAAGCTACAAATAACGCCACCGCGCCTTTCTTCTTGATAATTAAATGTGCAAGTCTATTTTTAAAGAGCGAGATATACACACACCATCGGTCGTATATTTAATTCTTATCGATTTCTCGTGACCTTTGGAAGAGAAAAATGAATAGCATTTGTCATGTGCGTCTTCTTCCGTCAATATTAATCGAGTTCAAGAATACGAAGGAAATTAAAAAATTTCATAAAATTAAAATACTTGAAAAATTTTTAAATTAAAATAGTTTAAATCCTTTTTACGCTATTCCAAATTCCTCAATATTTATATATTCTACTTCAGATTTTTGTGTACATTGTGTATTCATTACATTTTAAAAATCGCAAGTAAAATATTTTTGATTATTAATCACATTCTTATTTTTTTATAATAATATGTCATTTTGTATAAGACAAGATGAAAGATGTGCAAGAAGCTCATATTCTCTTATTACTTTTCAATTAAAGTTAAGAGTGTAGATAAAGTTAAGAGTCGGTCTTCTGAAACTATGCAATATTAATTAACACTTACATTTCTAATTTAATAATTCAGTTTTAAAGTGAAGAAGAATTTTGTTAATTCACATAAATCTGTGAGAAACTTTCAATTTTACCACAAATCTTGAAAAATGCGCTATGTAAATGTTTCTATCGCTAGAGTATACTTCATATCTCTTTATTCACTATCACTTTATCTGCACAGACTCTCTTTCTCGCGCATTTATCTCTTCCATAAAAAAAAAAGATAGAAGGAGAGTGTTCACTTATTTTAGAGACAAGAAATCACAGTCATGTTTTCTTTCCCGCACGAATAATATCTTACAAAAATTACATTCGCATATCGCTTCGCGCGTATCCGTCCGATGCTCGCGATAAAACTCGACTAAGTCCCGATTCTGTAGTTCCGTAGACGACTTTTCTACGAGTTGAGAAAGCTCGTCTTCGTCGGTTCACACAATGCGCGATATTTGCTTCATCGTGATGCACGAAGCACGTGAATTACAGTGACGTGTTTTTATCTGTAGAGGCCCTAGACACTCTCGTATTTAGTGATCGTAATAAATATCGTAATTTTTGTGCCTCATTGATGTTCTTCAATCTATCAGTCGCCGATCTGCAGAAACGCACGTTTGTACACATTTTTTCGTATAACAAAATAGAATACAATAGTAATGTAAAATATCGCGGAAAAAGAGCAGAGCCTTGTAATTTTTTATTTTATTATCGATTCAATGTAAAAAATGATGTTAGTGCATGCGTGTCCAACTCTTATTATTAAACTGCAGTTGCATGTTGAAGGTCGAGTCATTTGTTGCGGTTGAATTATCACGGTCTTGAGCATGTTGAAGGTTTTCGTATGTCAATTGTATTATATTTTAAATAAATGTAAATTTTTGAATCTTAAGATATATTCATACACGACAGCTGTCCAATGACACTTTGTCTAAAAAGATGTAGCTATCAAGGAAATATTGAACTAACCAAATTATTATATCGCTGTTTTTATATTTAAAGCTTTTTCTTTTTCTCTCTCGATTTGATGTTGCTAATCGCTTTTGCTAAGAAACAAAATATTTTGGATTATATAAGTTTTTTTATTTGTATCAAACAATGTATATTCAATTTAGTTTAGCTATAAATATAACTAATAATAGAAAAAAAAACTGGATTCTCTTAGTTTCTGAAATTAGATTTTTTAATACATTTTTGTTTAAACGCTTGAGTAATGATGTTTAAAGACAAAGACGTGTAATTATCACGTCACGTCGCAAACTGCTAATGTGAAAATGAATAGTTTGCGACGTAGATTCATTTGCTAATACTAAATGCTGTCAACGTAATATTCTTTACAATGCTTGTATAACGTTTGTATCGTCGGTTGAAGTCTTCGAGACGTAGAACGATGCTTTTGACTATGCTGTCATAAGGTGAAAATATCATGTACCATATTATGGTATTAGCAGCTCTTTCGCATGATAGGACACAAGTTCACATGATAGGTGGTATTGTACACTGTTATCTCGAGATGATTATCTACCAGATGCTTTGTTTCTGCAAAGAAAATTATAATTCGCCTTAGCTACTTGTTAAATATTTTATTTACCTTTTGTTACTAAATTTTTTATTTTGCTTGTAAATTACTTTTGATTTTTTTATTCAGGAAACTTCGCATTCTAGAAATTCAATATATGACCTAATGTGAAAAATCTGTATATAATTTAGAATATTTTTTAGTATCTATATATAAATATTTTTACATATATGACATAAATTCTTTAAAATATACATAATTTAAAAGAAAATTTAAGATGTTTCACGGAATAATGTAATACAATTTTTTAATGTACTTTTTTCTTTTGTCAGAAGCAATTATAATTAGAATATTAATAATTAATGTACATGTTCTATCTCTTCAATTAAATAATTATCAAAATAAATCCTTGTATGGTAAAAAGGCACTGTATTTTTATACTGAGAAAGTATGATGAAAAATAAATTGCCACAAGTATTATACAATCGCACACATAAATATATCTGACGTGATGAAAAGACAGTTTGCACGAATTATTAATTTTACTACACTTAAGAATTATCAGATTTAAAATATCTTTATGTCTGAAAGAACTTGACAATTTATAGAAGAAAATCAGAAACGTGTATCATTAATGTGTTCGTATTTATATCAGCTGTTTCGGAAAATAATTTTGTTTTCTAAATGTATATGGAATGACTGTTCCACTAATTATATGATAGTGCGATAGTAAATCGTGTAGTGTTTCCAGGCGTGAAATGATATTTCCCAATCGCCGGCTTCATTGGTTGTCTAGTTATCGCTAGAAGATTTCAGTCTCTGCGTTCACGTCTCGTATTTAACATCGCTGACTGTTTTATCAATTTTATAGTATATAACATATTGAATAATTAAAAAGATCGTTCTCTCTCTCTTTTTCAACAGTCATAAAGATCGCATAAACACACGACTTTTCGCTGATTGAAGAGAAAACGATATTTAGAAAACGAGAAGCTTAGAAACGTCAGCAGTTTTGGCTGATGAAAAGTTATCGCGCTTCATAAACGATCTTCCTGTCAAAGATTTTTGTCTCTAGTCGATTTAATTCTATTAAATTTGCGTTTCAAGAAAATTTTCGCGTGTTTATGGTAATTAAAGTTGAAAATGGAGCAGGATTCAATTCTAAAGATGAACGAGATCCAAAATCTTCGGGAGGAATCCAGTTTTTTCGCGTCCATACCTTTGCAGGTAAGACAAAAGACGGGAACTCTGAAATCGATATAATTTGATATCAGTTTTCAATGCCTAATAACGCGGATACGGAAAAATAAATCTTACTCCGATGTTTTTATTTTTTAATGGTAAATTTCTGAATCGATTGAAAAGAAAAATGATGATAACTTTAAATTACGAAAGGCAACTTCGTACATATATCGTAAATATCTAAGTTATATTTTAATAATTTATATCATTATTTATTAAAATTATAATATAATATTGAAATATATAAATAAAATACATTATAAAGAAGTCACTCTCGCTCTTGAAATTAAGTTGGTTTTGGTAGCAGAGAAGTGTTTTTCTTTTAGGCTTTGTATATAATATTGTATTTATGTGAAAAGAGTAGTTACAATATATTATCATAAAAGCGAAATCGTCGTTTTTTGATCTTGAAACTCGAAGTGCTTGACTCTTTATATGTAATTTGCATTACAAAAATTATTTTGTGCGGTTGCATGCTGCTGATCAGACAATAGCTTCTTCATAGAGCTTCTGGCTGTTTGTCGTGGAATTTATATTATATTAATAATGTTTTTCAACAAATATATAAACGATAGTTATCAAATTTTTTTATATTGGCGGTTTTGGAATGTATTGAAAAAATTCAATTATATTATTTAAGAGATAATTTAATATTTATATAAAGCTACGATGAAATATTAACGATTGTTATGAATTTCATCAAAATATTCTTATCAACTTACGATAATTAAATAAAACTATATTTAAATGAATGTCTTGATGCAGTTTGCGCAAAGGTTATTCGATATTTGATTTTGATTTTAAACCTTATATTATTATGATAGGTGTATCTTTAAAGAAAAGTATAGAATATAGCCCGCGCGATGTCGGAAAGAAACCAGGTCATCGGAAGATAACAGCATGATATTGGAAATTTACATACACTTGTGTTTCTCTTTGAAAATTTTCCGGGATGGAGAACGGAACTTTTATATAATGATTCAGAGTTATTATCGATCTACGTATAACATTGATAGAGTAAACTGTTTTGTCTGCATTTAAAATACATACATATATATATATAAATAGAATAAACTCTGTCTAATTAAACGAAAATTAGTTGCATGTTGCAGTTTTTTTTACTATTTTTATGAATAAGAAATTTTGTGCGCGATGAGAAAAATATCGAAAAGTGTTATCGTGCACATTTATTTTGAGCTTGTTTAGTAAATCAATCATGAATAAACAATATATTGTTGCTGCACTCATTGAATAATCTTTTGTAGTGCAATTATAGTGCGGATTAACTTTTCCGCACATCATGCAAAAGTCGTTTTATAATGATTAAAAAGTTCAAAATATTGTTTTCAAAGATAAATCTCTTTTTTTTTGAATCTATACAAAATCTTTTATTATAGAAAAACAGAATATGTGTTTATATATAAATCATTTCCCTAATCCGATAAATCCTAAATTTATTAAACTCGATTTCTTTGATTCACAATCGGTCACAGTTAAAAAGAGATAAAAACTTTATTAGCTTCAACTTTTTTAACCAGATTTTTAGTCAGTGTGTCACTTTTTGATAGCAGAATTGCCAGAGAAACAGGTTGTCTGAATTGCAAAATTCTGATCTAATGTCGCAGCAATTTTGCGCAATTTTTCATATACCGTGAATTCACTGTGAACAATAATATCGGTGGGAGGATGATCGTCAAGGATGGCAATTCTCCTCGGACACTCGTGAATGACTAGCATTGCGACGGCGCATTCGTCAACGATATCGCCATTGATAGATGCGCGCGTAGCCGTCACACATACATACGCCGTACGTATCTGTGTGCATAAATATTTTCACGTGTGATTACGTGGGATGTTAGGGAAGGGATCGGCGATAGAGAGGCATTTAGCCGAGTGGTAGAACGGGCGCCTTCGCGGAATGCACGATGCACTTAGTTTACGTTCGACGTTCCGCGATACCGCGAGTCGCTCTCCGTTATCAACGTTATCGGCATGCCGGTAATGAGGCGTGACAGCCCGATATAACATTTGTTGCATTTACATATGTGAATTTGGACGCGTCAAAGGACATTCGTGATGGATAGCGCGATGAAGGAGCGATAATGAGTCACTTGTCTGGATAAAGCAATCGGGGAAAGATATTTTAAGTATTCGTGATCGATTTCGTTATAACGAGAAGATTGGACAAAAACGTATGTTTATGTATAAAATATTTGAGTATTTCAGATTCGATGCTCTCAATCATTTCGATCACAAATTAAAATTTAAATGTTTTTTAAAATGTATTGAAATTTTATATTTATAATATTGTAAAATGGGAAACAATTTAAAGTTTTATGAAAATTTCATTGTTATGGAGGAGAGAATTACCGATCAGTAATAGATTCAGTAATAGATTCTATTTTTGCATTATATACATATACATATACGTTCCATATCATGCCTTAATTAATTTCGCTCTTCCATCTACGTTTCAATTTGTTATATATTAACTTCTTTATTTTCCTTTTTATATTATTTAATAATCATTAATAAAATTAATATCCAATTTTATTTTACGAGTATATATTATATAATTACTCTATTGAGAAAAATATTAATTTTGAATAAATGCTTTGCTATTTAGATTTTAATAATAGTTATCTTTTAGAAATTGATCACAATCTCCAAAGCTTCGCGAAATATCATAGATCATAGATACTTTTCCCCGATATGCAATCCTTGATTAAAATATCAACGTGCAGTGATAATTGAAATTCGTAACAATATTAATTTGATATTAAGAATGTCGAAAAAGATGAGCAATAAGAGCTCGATTCAATTTTGAATATTTTGTACAATAAAAAATAATGCTCAGCGTTTGGATTGACTCATACGAATCTATTTCAATTCGTTAAATGTACATCCGGTTACATATGTACAAGGATCACACACATATCTAAACACTCGCGTATTCGCGTATATATAATACGTTAGATCAAAACAGCTTATGAATAGTCTCAATCATCATTATCATGTAATTTACATAGTACATTTCTCGGAAATCCAAATTGTAGATTAATTATAGATTAATTTTCGATATATTTTCGCAGGGATTTCAGCTTCTATGCAACACGATAAATATAATAGGTGCTCTCTTTAGAAAAATAGTGATATTAAAAAAAAATACTTCAATGTCCATATATCGATATTTTTTATTACTTTTTTTGAATAATGCAAGAATTTAATTTTGTACAAATATTTCTCTCTGTCGTTATCTTTGTACAAATATCTTCGTGAAAAGTATGACAGAATCACGATATAAAGAGTGGCGTATCATCTGTCCGTAACGTGTTAACTTTATGAAGCACAAAGAGACGCGAAATGTCAATCCACGCAATAAAATGATCTCTGATTACACGGATCAAGAGCGAGCGATAATAGACAATCGATGTAATGTAATGATGAGATAAATGAATTTGTTCAACGCGGATGTGTGAATATTAATTCAAAGTTTTGTACTTCTCTCGTTTGTATATGGATTACAAAATAATTATTACATGTAAAATATCTTGATAATCCCGTTTCTCTTGTTCTACATTAATAACTTTTAAATTTATTGCATATCTGCACGCATTTTTATTCAATCGAATGTAATTGAATTTTACATAATTTTGATCGAAATAATGCAGGAGCGTTATTATAAATTTTTTGGAATGTTTGCATTGTATGTGTGTTCGTGATTATTTTTACACATATAATAAAATCAATTCTCATATTTAATTGTGTGAAAGGTGTTGCGAATTTGTCTCTAACTTAATTTAATATAATTCTGTACAAAATCTTTTGATTGTCATTGATTGATTGTCATCGTTCTAACAATTCTTATATTAGGAATTATTACGTAAGATTTTGATTGTCTCGTGAGATAAATTCTCGGTATTATTACGTAAGATTCATTTTTCACCAAATGTAGCGTTACCACTTATCGTTTAAAAAATGTACGACATTGAGAAGACATGATTATTACAATGACACGTGTCACTGCGCGTGCAGGCAAACGAGAATTGGATCCCGCGCGCGCGGAATAAAGGAAGTGACAGTCTGGAGTATTCGCTAATCGACGAAGGGTGCTTCGGGAGATTTAAATTGCGACTGTGATTAGGTGGGAAACCGAGTCGAAGTGGACACCCACGATTAATTTCGCTACCTCGACAGACAGATCGGCCGTGTCTGTGCGGGGGCGGACGGATGAAACGAAGGGGGCAGGGGCTCACCCTATATCGGATTCAATTGCTCCTAGATGCGGACTGTGTGCAGCCGCTATCATTTTATCAGCCGTTACGTTAGCATTTTACTGAGGAAAACAGAGTATCACGTCTTAATTATATCGATTTTGCAATCGATAAAACGGAAGCTTGATTCAATATTAATTCAATATTAGTAATACTAAGTTTACAATGGATCGGAATTTTAAATCCTTTAGAAAAATAGTGATATTTAAAAAAAATACTTCAATGTCCATATATCGATATCTTGCTTTCGAAACTCCAAATATTTGTATTTTTTGATTGTATTAATTTTGTGCTTTTATCGAAGTATTTATGCCTGAGAAATATATTCGAAGATACGATGAAATCAACACTTGTTTGGATTTTAGGAAATAAAGCCGTATTAATGAAAGAGGGAGGACCGTTTTGATTCGTCTTCTAACGATATCGTTCGATTCAATCAATCTCATTAATATTATTAATATTGATCATGGAATCGGAACGAACGCAAATGTCTGAAAAAATGGGGAAAGCTTCCGGCGATTACATAAAGACCATTGAAGGCGGTATGCAACCGATGCAGGTGAATAATTCTGTTGTCAAATGAATCTTGATAAGATCAAACAAAGAAAAATTGAAAATTAACGAAAGAGTCTTCGTTTCGAGTTGACGCGACATATTTAGTTTTATTTCAGTAAGCTACCTATTATTCAAATATTAAATGATTAAATTTATATATATAATACGTGTAATTAACACTTTTCTTTAAAAAATTTTTTCTTTCAAAATGCGTATTTTAAAAAAAAGATGAATTTTTTTTTAAGAAGATATCAGGAGTTTCTATAGAGAAGAAAATTTTATATAATCCTGCACTTTTATATGAAACTGTCTATAAAATGTTTTAATGTCACTTTCAAATATAAGAATGTATATAAAGAAAATCGACATGTACATAATTGAATGTCATTTTTACGATAGATATATAATAAGCTAGAATTAATTCTTCGCAGTTTTTGTTTTTCCAATCTATAATATGAAGCGCACAAGAGGCTGATAATGCCGCTAAATTTTTATGTAATATTATAATTTTTAGATATTGACGTGCACATAAAAAATCGAAAGATCGAGAATGGATGTCGTTGATTACAGGATTTGTTACAGAGCCTGGAGATTAAAATTTACAAAAAAAGATGGCTGATGCTTATCCTCTTCGTACTGTACAGTGCGAGCAACGCCATGCAGTGGATCCAATATAGTATTATAGCGAACATTGTAATGCGCTACTACAATGTTTCAAGTTTCCTGATAGACATGACAAGCATGATATATATGATAACATACATACCATTAATATTTCCTGCTAGTTATCTGCTGGATAAGTTCGTAAGTAATCATCTTTTAACGATAAAATAGAATGTATCAAAGTAAATATATCAAAGACTTGTATATACTATGTCTCAGAACTACCGTACATTTTTTAAAATTACAAACCGTTTTTCTTTTCGCGTAATTGACTTTCGAAATTATCAGAGAGCGGCGATAAATTTCGAAAAATTGGACTTCCTGATTCGTCTGATTTTTTTAGGTATGATAGCGAATTATGATGACACGTAAAATTTGCACAATTTATTAAAAAGTAATATATGTGTAGCACCTTATCTGATCATACGAAACGATAACATTCACTTTTACTTAAAATAAACAATTTCGTATTTATCGAATAAACAAGTTTGTGGATACAATCTCGAGATCAACATGGACGATATCTTTCGAAAGTCACTTTCCTTCAAGTAATCGTTGTTACTGATCGAACAAATTTCATTCCGCATAATATCATAGATTCACTTATTAATATCTAAATGCATCAGGGGGTGGAATGGGATTTTAGGGTCTTAGATATGCCGTGATCTTCGGGGCGCTCGGAACCGCTTTCGGTTCCTGGATAAAGGTATTCAGCATAGCTACCGATCGCTTCTGGATTACGTTCCTCGGCCAAAGTCTGGTGGCAGTCAGTCAAACCTTCGTTCTGTCAGTTCCAGCCCGATTGGCTGCTGTTTGGTTCGGACCTGATCAAGTTAGCAGTGCCTGTAGCATCGGTGTCTTCGGCAATCAAGTATGTAAATATCCTTATACATCATTAAAATATATTATTTGGAATAGAATTTGAATTTGTTTGAAGGAAACTTGATAATTTAAATTTGTGATATCTTTTCATTGATTTTTTATTACATCTTTACAACATTCTCTTTATTTGTTCTTAAATTACATAAAAATTTATCTAAAATATTCTTTAAAATCGAGAGATTTTTTTAAGATTAGATTAATAAGAATGTAAACGGAAGCTTGATTCAATATTAATTCAATATTAGTAATACTAAGTTTACAATGGATCGGAATTTTAAATCGCATCAACTCTAGAATCACAAATTTTCAGAAAAGAGAAAATGTCTAATGTTCCTGTTTTTTTAATTTCTGTCTTAAGATTTTTACAATTCAAGTAGAAAATATAAAATCCATATTTCTTTCTTTATTTGTTTAAAAATTTTTACAATTTAAGTAGAAAATATAAAATTCACATTTTTTCATATTATTGAAGAAATGAACATAGTCTCTTTTTATATAATGCATAATTTTAAATTTTTATAATTTTAAATAATTTTTGGTGTCTTTTTGAAATACATTTGTGATTTGTTTTAAAAGCTGGAAACGAAAACGGTCCGCTTTGGTAACAATAAGTAAGCCTGTAAAAATATGGCGATAATACGAGCAATACTAATTTCGTTTGTTATAAGTATACGATAAACGTTTTCAAGATAAGCATTGTTATATATGCCACACAATCGGAAAAGATCGAACTTATACACAACAAATATTTCTTTTAATAACTTTTCTGAAACTCGAAAACAAATTCTTAGGGCATTCGTCTTTTGGCTTTCTGTTGCAGCTGGGTATCGCTATCGGTTTTTTATTTCCACCGATGTTAGTGCCCAACAGCGACAATATCTGCAACATTGAAAGGGGATTGCGACTTATGTTCTATATCGTCGCGGCTTTCACAACGTTTGTGCTAGCCCTCATATTATTCTGTACGTGTAACTTCCATTTATATCGGATAGTTGTACAATCCAATAATAAAATCCAGAAACTAAAAAATTTAGGAAAAATATTATTTGACTCACACAAATAAAGTAATTAATATGACTTATCTTTCAAAATGATTTAATGATTTGAATATTCGGCTATAAAAATTATCAAACTGAAAAAACCAAGAATATATAAAAGAAATTATTTTACATAATTACAAAAAAATATTCTATGTAGATAATTTCCTTATAAAATATCACACATTATATTTTATAAATGCTATCTCATTAAGAAAGAGATATTTCGAGCAAATAATATATTTCGCCTTTACACAAGCTTATATTTTCTTTAATCAGCTCCGAAATTTTATTATCAAGACACGCACATTTTCTCCTAACACTTAATAGAAACCAGTAATTTATAGTCTTCAAGTCGGCACCGCCTTTACCACCTAGTCCTGCTCAAGCTGTGCAAAGAGAGAACACCGAGAAGGAGTCGTTTTTTTGTTCTATCAAGAGGTTGCTCAGCAATATCGGTTACGTGTTGCTTTTATTCAGCTACGGCATCAATATCGCTGTCCTTTACGCCATAAGCACCCTCTTGAATCAAATTATTCTCAAATATTTCCCGGTAGGTATTCCCTCCCCCAAGAAATTGCAATTCTCGCTTTTTCGATATTCTTTTTGGATTCTATTTTTACAAATTGTTAATTATTACAAATTATTAATGTTAAATATTTCAACATGTGTATTTTTTCTCGATTCTCTGGAAAATTATAGAATTTGTTACTTATAAATTCTTCTTCCTTTCAGGGACATGAAGAGGACGCCGGTCGTATCGGCTTAACGATAGTTTGCACCGGAATGTTGAGCTCCGTTATGTGCGGCGTTATATTGGATAAAACCCACAAGTTCAAGTGAGTAATCAGATTCTACGAAGTGATGGTTTCTATTCTAATATTGTCCAACAATACACCTTTTTTTCAAAATCTATACCATTTGAACAATAGCAATATTATTTTAATATTAAATTACTTCGATTTTTTTTGTTTTTAAATCAGTAAAACCAGTTTATGATAACGATTATTGTAAAATCTTATCAGGATTTAAGATATCGTTTATGTTGTAAATAATTCATCAAATGGTATATTGAATTGTATATTTTTCTGTATTTCAATTTATATTATTTCATCGAATGATATAAATTGAGATCTATGCGATTGAAACGATACGGAGAATATATAAATTTTCAGAGAGACTACGCTAGCAGTCTACCTATGTTGTTTCTTGGGAATGATAATCTTTACTTTGACACTGGACAGCAAAGGGATATATGTTGTCTACATCACGGCCGGCGTCTTGGGGTAAAATCTAGTGATCATTTTCACATTGTGTCATCCGCGAAATTTTTTTAGCATAAATACTTTATATTCTTACAAACATATTTAATATTATGATTTCCGCGATGTGCGTTTCTTAATTTATAAACATTGATTCCATTTTTTGACTTGTCATAAGACACTCTATACTTTGGTGCCAGACTTCGCTAAAAATTCTCTCGTTAAAATTGTCCCTTCTGTAGAAATTCGCGCATTTGATAGATAACGGTCGTCTTTAATTTGCGACTTTTACAATCTATTTCTAGCTTCTTCATTACCGGTTATCTGCCGGTTGGTTTTGAGTTCGCCGCTGAACTTACGTATCCGGAACCGGAAGGAACGGCGGCGGGTTTGTTGAACGCAGTGGTGCAGGTCTTCGGCATCACCTTCACGAC